TCTCTTCCGGCATTCCTTTCCCCTCATTAGCCCCTCAGCCTTCTCTTGCCTCTTGCTCCCAGTGACCAGAGACCACCCTCTCCCTCCCCTGTCCAAGACCCCATTCAGCCAGAGTATCCAAGCCAAGTTGTTAGATGATAGGACGAATTCACACTATGTTGTGAGTGTTTTAAAACCCTTCACACACATACACACAGACACAGACAAACACACACACACACACACACACACACACATTCCTTCTACCTTGCCCCGAGAATTGCAGGCAGCCAGAGAATTGCAGGCCAACCAGTTCTGATGGTCTATAATCAAGCCCAAGGGAACAGCTCCCAAAGTGTTGCTCTGAGCTGCATACTGCAAAGTCATTCATTTGCTGTGGGGTTGACTCCCAACTCCTATCGACCCCAGGTAAGTCGCAGCAAAATTGGGCTCCAGAGGGGTTTTCAATGGCTGGTTTCTCAGAAGTAGACCCCCAGATCTTTCTTCTAAGGCACCTCTAGGTAGACGTGAACCTCCGAACTTCTACATAGCATTGGTTCCTGTGGTAATGTGACTTCACGAAAATAAGAGGGAACCTCTTCAGTCTTCTCCAAATCTGGGGATTTGTACTAGATGAACCCCTCAAACTCAGCAATGCTACTAAAGCCTTTAAGACTGATTTGCTGCAGTGTAACTCAAGGAGTGGAGATGGGGTTAGGGATGAGGTGGTTTTAAATGGCTGGCAGAGAGCAACTTTCCCAGAGAATCTAAAAATTCTATAATTCTATCTGGATGGTGTTTGAGGAGTGAGGGGGAAGGAGTCAATAGAAAGATGTTTGCGGAAGGGGGAGAAAATGGATGGCCGAACTCACTGGGTAAGAACATAGCCTTCAACTCGGGTCAGAATTTGGGGGTTTAAGCAATAGAAATAGAAATGGACTGTTTCCTTGGCCTAATCTAGGAAGTACTTGTTGTTGTTGTTGTTTGTGTTAAGTTTTGTCAAGTCGGTTCCGACTCATAGTGGCCCTGTATAGAATTTCCGAGGAACAGCTGTTAAGCATGAACCACCGACCTTGCAGTCCAGCGCATTAACCCACAGCGCCATACCAGGACTCCAGGAAGTAATAAAAGGAGAGGTTTTCATTCACAGCAAATAGGTCCAGGCTGTGAGATAATGGTAAAAGATGTTAGGAAAGAAGGAAAAGAGAGAGCGCAAGACAGCGAGAAAAAGAAATTAAGACCAGCTTTCATTACATTGATTGGAACAGTGGGCTTGAGCAAGGCAATGATTGGGAGGCTATCCGGGGCCCGGCAGTGTGCTGCTCTGTTGTGCAGAAGGTCTTTTCTGACCCAGTTGTTGTTGTTGTTAAGTGCCGTGGAGTCGGTTCCGACTCATAGCGAGTCTGTACAGGGTTTCCGAGGTTGTAAATCTTTACGGGAGCAGAGAGCCTCATCTTTCTCCCGCGGAACAGCTGGTAGTTTCGAACTGCTGTCCCAGAGGTTCGCAGCCCAATTCGTAACCACTACGCTACCAGAGCCAGTGGCACTTAACAAAATCCATTTTGAAAGGAGCCCTGGATTCACAGTGATTAAAGCACTTACTGGTTAATCGAAAGGTCTGCAGTTCAAACTCACCAGCCAATCCAAGGGAGAAGATGTGGTAGGCTGCGTCCGTCAAAATTACAGCCTCAGAAACCCAACGAGGCAGTTCTCTACTCTGTCCTATAAAGTTACTAGGACAGCAACAGGTTCAGTGGGTTAAGGATGTTGACAAGGGGCATTAGTTTTTCATTTGTAGATTTCTCACCTTCTACACAGGAGTTGTTGTTGGGTGACCCACCAGATCCTAACTCCCACCAAGCTGCTGGTGGGGTCTGAACCCCCAATCTTAACGTTAGCAGCTGAGCTCCTTTCCTGCAGGAGACCTGGGTTATTCCTAGCCACGTACCTCCTGCATAGCTGAACAGATGTCAGAGGAGCTTTCAGACTAAGACAAATTAGGAAGAAAGGCCTGGCAAACTCCTTGCAAAAATCAGGCAGTGGAACCCCTCAGATCACAATAATCCCATCTGCGAAACTGATCATGGGGATGGCACATGATCAGGCACTGTTTCTTTCTGTTGTGTGTGGCGTTGCCATGAGTTGAGAGGCATGACTCTCTAGCAGCTAACAACAGCAAGAAGCTAAACTTGTCTTTAGACCAAGAAACTCCCTAGATCCTGATGGGGTGTTATTTCAGTCTCAAAACAAATCCTTAGCAAATATCGTGCATCATTCTGGTGTGTATGGTTTGTGTACATAACTGTTGAATCATTATCCAGGACCACTAACATCAGACTTTACTTGGTCAGTTTTTTTTGTTTAGTTTTTGTTGCTGTTGTTGGGGGGAGGGGGAGGGAAAAGCTAGAGAATAGTTTTGTATGTTTGTTTGTTGCTGATGCTTCTGGTTTTGCTTTGTGAAAAACAAAAATCCAATTCCAGGAGAGACTTTGCCAAAAAAACAAAGAATTTACAAGGAGGGAGTCCAGCAGACTCCTAGTTGTTGTTGTTGTTAGGTGCCATCGAGTCGGTGCCGACTCATAGCAACATTATGCACAGCAGAATGAAAGCACTGCCCAATCCTGGGCCAACGTCACTACTGTTGCCACGCTTCAGCCCATTGATGGTGCCACTTAGCCAATACATCTTGTTGGGG